CTAGTGAACTTGTTCGTACACTCTTGGGTAGCTGAAGCAAGCTCATCCAGCCACCATGATAAAACCTGTCACATAACTATGAGGTCCTTCGATGGCTCGACGCGTTCATGAGAAGTGGCAAAAGTGCAAAATGCCCCTCCCCGTCGCCGAACTGTGCCGTATCAGCTTTATTTGGTCAAGAAAGTTGTGTATCAATACGAAAGTTATGTATAAATACGAAACGGTGCTATTTTCTTATCCGGTTCTGTTCTCAAACGGTTAAATCTTACAAACAGCCAAGCTGGTCTTTTTACTGAAGATCTATGGGGTATTGGGGAATGGTTTCTTAACATTAGCTAGAACTGGTTCACAACTTCTTTCCCCGAGTATGCAAAAAAAGGCGCCTCGGCTTGGTATGGGCATCAATTGGTACTCAGTGACATCTGCACAGGCCACCTTGTGGAAACCTGTGCATTTCTGACCAGAATGACTCACTTGTAGCATTATGCATATTCGCAGAGGTTTAGAGTATCACCCGAATGAGATCTCCTAGTTAACACGAACTAGCAAAGGAATCCCCCCTAAGCCGACCACTATTCGGAAAATGTCTCAGTTTTAGACAACTGAGGCCTTGCTATCAGAGACAGACCCCACGATTAAGTACGTAAAAACACAGACCCGCTTAGTTGAAGTAATCAGCCACGCCTACCACATCTCAGAGATATCGAGCTTAACTGTTAGCTTATAGCTTGACGGCCAGATGGCAGGCAGCCAGTGGCAAATCCATCTCAAGCACATATGGCTTCTTCAAAGATGACAGAGAGAAGCGTGCCAATAAGGGAAACACAAGAATTTTATGTCTCCGCCCCTATGATGAGCGTAGGTTGTAGTTTTCAGTACCATGAGAGATAAACACATATGGTCTCTAACCATTTAGGTTGACCAGCTCGTGCCAAGCACTCTCAAAACTTTTCTTTGCATCTTCACGTCATTCGAGGAGGTACGGCTCAGTTTCGGCGACGGGGGGGGGGCGAGCGGAGGAGCAGTTTGCACTCAGAGCCATCAAGAAAGCTCTTTCCCGAGCGAGACAAGAGTTGTCGGCTTTTACCATGGTGGCGAGCTTGCTCCGGTTTCACGAGAGTTTTCACCAAGGCGTGAATCGAAAACTCAGCAAAGCAGTGTTGGTACATAAAATGCCCCGCGTGCCGCGACTACACTGACGCATTCATTTGTGAGATCGCACAGACGCACGGGACAATGAGTGCGGGAGTTCCTAGACACAGCAGGGGCTCTTTCTGACCTTTTTGCATATTCGAGTCTTCTTACGAGTTTTTGAAAACATCATGTTCGAATTTTCTCCTACTAGGACTTATTATGGTCTAATTCATCAGGGGTTGAAATGGAATGGACACGGATGTAAGCATTTAATGAGCCATGAAACCCTGAAGTCACATTGACGGATTAATTTTACAACTTTTGCCTGGACAAAGTAACTATCTCGCGAGCATGCCCCAGCCCAGCTGACGGGCGGGACTTGGCGTAGGGCACGCTGTTGCCCTTTACATCTTTTACAAGGGAACCCCAACAGGTCGACCCGGCCGTTTGCAATGAGATGTACACATGTGGACGTGTCTTGAGCCGCTGAATCCAAATCTACCCTCCGTTTTTGCGGAACGATTCTCTGAACGGAGTTATGGGGCTTTTTCCACCGCATTTACCACGCAACAGGTCGTGGGATCGAATCCCTGCTGGGCTTCACTTTTTTGCTTCCTGCGCAAACGTGGCAAAATGTGGTTTTGCTTTCACTACTACTTCAGTGCTCACCTAATCTTGCCTGAAGAAAACTTTGCGTCCATTTATGAATGCGCCTAGGCACCTTGTAGAAGCCTTGTAGTGCAGGAAAATATTGGGGTGCACAGGTGCCCGTCGTGCGCGATACAGGCGTTTTCACGCTCAGCGAGTGCCATATTCGTCTTCAGCGGGTCAAAATACCTTTATACACAAGTTGCTAGCCAAATCTGGCATTTTGACCTGATTTCCATAATTGAACCATCCATGGGTTAGTTCAGCTGATGTTCACACCTATTCACTGCAGATACATTTGCCTGCCTGCACAACGCCTTGTCTTGCACCTTCTTACGCATTCATTTTGTTACTGCTCCAGTTTTCCTGGTATATAGAAGAAAATTCCGGCCAAAGACAGGCAATCGACAAGAGACTGGCCCTGGGAACTAGTGGTGACCACCATCGGATCAACTGCTACCGGACTTTTGAAGATAGGTCAAGACCTCATATCTGGCTAGAAACCTGTCCCCAAGGGTAATTTTGCTCCCTGAACACGAATATGGCACCCATTTGACGTTTGAATGCATTCTAGACTTAAAAGAGACATTCCCCACAGAATTTAAATGCAACTCCGTTCAGAGAATCGTTCTGCAAATTTCGAAGGCAGATTCGAGATCAGCGTCCAAAACCACGTCTAGTGAACTATATTTCATTACGAATGGCCACTTGGACCTGACGACCTTCCCTAGTAGTAGTGGCGACCTTCTCCATTCCTCGATGCGAGCTCTAGAAACGGTCATTCTCATTGGAGTTCTCATTCAAGTTTTCAGAAGGTGTAACAGATGGAGCAATGATCGCTTCTATTGTCAAATAATCAGAGATTCAAGTCAACTGGCCAAACAGAAGTGTTCTGGGGACTCGTATGGAATGTTCTGAACAAAAGCAAAAATGTTCGGAGTGTCAAGGATTCCAACATGCGACATCGTGTTCCTGAATCAGTGCACTTATCCACTAGGCCATCGGCGACCTGCCGTGAGCAACCATCCCTCTCAACTTATACAACGAGCAAAGATTTGATGGTCCGTAACTCCGTTCAGAGAATCGTTCCGCAAAAACGGAGAGTAGATTTGGATTCAGCGGCTCGAGATACGTCCATATACCTACTTCTCATTGCAAATGGCCGGGTCGACCTGTTGGGCGTTCCTTGTTAAGATATCCATAGATCTCAATCTTGACCCGAGCCATCTCCAATGTTGCGCCTTTATGTAATTAATGTTAGAACCGAATTTCCGGACAAAACAAACCAAGCGCAGCAATTAATTGTATTCCAAGTAGGTGATATCTTAGGCACGGAATGAACTGCCGTCATAGGAACTTCTAGCGATTTTAGGGCAGGGAAGCAAGAAACGAGGCACTCGTTCGGAAGACAAAAGGTGCGCCACATAATCCACAAAAACTGGTGGAGATCACATGTGAAGGTCTAAAACCCAGAACTAAAAAAGCGGCTAGGCAGTGGTAAGGTTTTGTTCTGCAAACACGTGTCACTTTAAATTTTTGGGTTTTTTTGACATAAATCTGGAAGCCTTGCAATAAAGCGCTCAGCTTGCGGCTCTCAATTCTCTATTATTTTAGACAGTGTAATCGACGCTGAGTTGTCAACACTTTACACCGGATTGCTCATGCGAAGATTCAAATTATTAAGGGCGACGTTTCGAAAAAGGGCTGCTTTACACACCTTTCCCCGTTCACATTATCGTTCTTGGAGCTTGCCCACGTTCCTGCACCTTGCAACATGCAAAGCAAAAAAAAAAACGCCTATGTGAAAAGGCTTATACTTCAGAGACACCATGTGGCCACTGACGTCCGAAACCGGTCTATCGAGGTGAGTGAGTGCGCACACGAGTAACGTGTGTTCTCCGTCAACAGCCAGTGATGGCTCTCGGCTCTCGGACAACGTGCTCCCCAGTACAATATCAACGCAGCGAAACAAGCACCCAGCTGTACAGAACAACTAGAATTGAGAGGGTGCTTTGCAGCTGCGGATCCACTCACCTCGAGGATGGCATGGACCGGTATTCACGGGGTGTGTGTACAGTTTGCCTTCAGAGCAAATTAGATGGCGGGTCTTTTCAAGGACAGCGAGCTCCGGTGAGCCTGAGCCTTTCACCGAAATGTGCTTGGCCATAGTGGCCTACATGACGTAGCTGAGAGATCACAGAAAAAAAGAAAAACAGAAAAAGACGGACACTTGCAGTCGGATCAAGCTCGAGTAGTCTTCGTCGCCATCACCCCCCCCGCTTCCGCACCACCAACTTAGCACCGAAAAAAAAGTACATGACACTACCCAACCTCGTCATCCTTGCGGCGGCCGAAACGTCTTGTAAACCGAGAAAAAATCTGTTCAGGATAATCTATGTGAGAAACATCCATGCACTGAATATAAAGATTGAACTGTTACAGAGGGAGCGGGACACAGTCCCCGAACGGGGGAAGGGAACAATATTCTCTTCGCTGCTTCCCATCGTCGTGTCAATGCCAGTTAAGTATAAGCAGATGTGAAAATCTGGTGAACCGTTGAAGTGATTAGTCCGAAGATTTGCTAGAACTACTTTTTAAACTCTTGTAATGAACACGACGATGCAAAAAGCCAGCAGTAGGTGCAAAATGCCTCCCCCCCCTCCCCGGCTAACTGCCGCCGGAACTTTTCCATGTTCCGTAAAAACGCGATGGCGTGTTACGAACCTATACGCTGTCCTAAGAGAACACATCCAACAGCTTTTATTACCAAAAAGACATATGTGAAAGAAAGTGATCTCTTGAAAATAATTAAGAAACCGTAAGATACTTAATCAACTACCTCACCGTTTTAACAACATCTTAGCGCAAACCTTCCACTCCAGTAAACCCGCAGTGGAATAACTCAACAACAACGAAGTCTTTAGGGCTCATTTCCTTATTGGTAGAAGCACACTTGCGCGGCAGGCCAGGTGGCTCCCCAACAATTCACGAAAACAAAGAATAGAGTCATATAAGCAACCAACAAAAGAGTGCTGAACAAATACAAACAGAATATCAAGAGAAATAGATTACCGACAAACAAATCTAGAGAAAAACGAGCTCAGCCATGGCAATCTGGGCTACAACGCCCAAAAACAACTTCAATCGCTTTCCTCATCACCGCTGTCTCCTTTATCGTTCTTCTTCTCCTTCTTTTCTTCTTTCTCCTTCTTTTTCGCTGCTTGAAGAGCATCTTCAACGTCCATTTGTTGATCTAGTCCTTTCGGCGCTACCAGACCATCCTAGAATATCTCACTACATCTGTGGCATTCAATAACACATTTACGAAAGATGTTTCGAAGCCGTTCCGCTTGGGAGGGGCCATTGCGCTTTTAGTTTCCTTTGCGTGTCCTTTTCAGATTGACTTAGTGGTCTTTGGCGAGATCTGTACAGCCGTTGTGGAGCCTGCGGAGCGCGTACATGTGCCAGGCTACATTCCGGGTCACACTAACTCACAGGTCTTTACAAGGTGGTCGGTGAGAACCAGTTGATGCCCCACCAGGCCGAACTGCGCTAAATTTCTTCCTGAGCGTGCAGCTGGAAGGGAACCTTCAGAGGAACAAAATGCTGCATGAGCCAAACATGGGGTTTCCCGCACGTCAACCCTCCCCAAAACGAGTCAGTAAGTCGATTAAATAGACTACTGTCCTTGAGGTACTCCTTCCTTGAAGGGTCATGCACTCTACCTCAACTCAGCATTGTTGGAATCTGGACAATACAGAAAACTAGCTGGGCCAACCGGTTACACAGGCCAGTGTTTCCGATCTCCCACTACAAACCTGACCCGAAGAGATGAAATGCTTAGGCAGCGTTCAGACTTCGCGACGGCAGCGCTCGGTCGCGCGTTCGACGCGATCGATGCAGTCGAAAGCATGCGCATCGATCGTCGAATCGCGCGACCAAAGCGCTGCCGTCGCGAAGTCTGAACGCTGCCTCAGGCGATCCGAACAGGAACCGATGAACAACACCACCTCCGGGCAAAAAACTCACGTCATCTTCCTCTTCACTTTCATCTTCATCCTCATCAGATCCTTCCTCTTCCTCCAGTTCAGCCAACTCCAGCCTCTTCTTGATATCGTTATCGTCAACATCGGTGACGACGCGAGCCTGGAAATAAGATAGCTATAAAATATGGAGCAACGTCAAAAGAAAAAACGAGATAAAAAAGTCTAAACTGCTCACCTCTTCTTTGATAGAAAATTTCCCTCCATATTTTTCTATGGTCTGCTTAACAACATCTAGCGCTGCATTAACAGCAGTGAGCCCGTGTTCTCGATCAAGCGTCTGTGTCGTTACGACAAAATGTGGAGCAGCAATGAGGTTGATCTGAAAGACGGAGCGAAGCTTGAAACTGAAACCTGTTATCAAAACAATATACGGCCAGGGCTCTTGTCAACGAAACATGCTATCGGTGCGAGAGTCCAGCGGTTCTCATGGCATCTACTGACCCAGCAGTTGAAGGAAGAAGGCAAAGGAGGAGGGAACAGAGAAGGAAGGTAGGCAAAGAAGTTAGAAGGAAGAAAAAGGAAAGAGAGGGAGAGCCCCGCGGTTAACAAGTGTTCTGAGACGCCTTTCAGTCCAACGAACGCACGAGGAAGAGCACGAACGACTTTTCACTACTTCAACGTTTCAAGGCTACAAGACAACAACTTACACAACGCGTGTTGTGCGCAGCGTCATAGACGACCTCGA